CATATTGCATACCGATTTCCTCGCAAAACTTTCATGCCTGCTTCACAGTCTTTTGTGTACAATCCAATGTAAATCTGTCTACCTTTTTCTCATTACACGAAAAATATAATGTATTTAAAGAATCATCTTAACGAAGAAATTTACACTGCTGTTACATGAACTCTGAAATGCAGGTGACAAAATGCTAATAAAACAATACTTTACCCGATGTAATTAACACAATAAGCTAATAATTCCACAAGTTTAATTAACTAAACTACCACGGATACGTTTACACTGTAATTATTCCTTATAAATTTGAAATCTCACATAATTTTCATCAATTCCACCAAGGATTACGACATTATTTTAAATCCATTCAATTGTACCAATATTACTTCAAATACGTAAATTATCATATAATCTAGTACTCACCAAATAATAATAATAATAATCCATAATATTTATTGTTATTTCCATTAACTAGCAGCAAAATGATTTACCAAAAAAAAAAAAAAAAGTTACAAATCATTCACTAAAACTAACATAACCTATAAACATCAACACAAAAGAGCGTACCTGGGAGTAATGGCGGCCAGAGACAGAGCCGACAGGGAACTGCGACGAGATACTTGTTCCCAGAGTGCCATCTGTTTGTTGTACAGGTCAGCTATATGCTCAGGCACTAGCTCTGACCCCCACCCTCGGTGCTGCAGTCAACAGTTACATCACACCCTCAACACAGCGAATAAAGTTACGTATAATTTACGCATTTAAAAACATAACCTCGAATTCTGGAAAGTCGTCCGACTTCTTCCACTAAACAGGGATGATTTCCAATAACACTTTATAACACGATGTCATTTTTCGACTGGTTTACGTAAGAAAAACTAGAAAAGACATTCATTTTCACTTACCTCCAAAATTTATTCATCATTACTGTTATAAAACACAATTAATAAAATCATAACTGAAAAGTTCGCTTCATGAGAAGTGATTACGTAACATGATTAGTTGTGAATTTATAATATGGTAAACCAAAATAATTTTGATTTGATAATGGTATAATACGCAATATTTTAATTAAAGCGGATATTTATTGTATTTTACGAAATGGAAAATTACACAAATCAATTCAGGAATATTGTTAATTTGAAATAAATTATACACTTATCAGTGAATTACTGGATAACAAGAAACAACTTACCTTGTATTCGCCAGCCTTTTTACGTAACTCCAAAACTTCTCGATACCAGGAGTCATTTTGTGGCAGTTCAGGCATCGCCTCAGGTAAGTGAACAGCATCAGTCTTCCTGAGGTACTTTCCTTCTACATAATCATACTGTGAGAATGGACGGAATTTCTTCTTGTATTCTGTCTTAATCTCCTTCCTAGAGCATCGAAGTATTTAGCTTAAAAAATTGCACTTTTGTTACCGCAAATTATAAAACTAAAGACGAACTCTTTCATTATCATTAACGACGCACTTGCATATCTTACCTGCGTCGGGGTTTCTCCTCTTTACTCAAAATTTCATGCTGAATCTTCTGTTCCCCTCGTAATTCGTCATGTGCTTTATCCGTCAATTCTGAAGCTACAAGAGGCTCCAACTCAGAAACCCCTGAATCAATGGAAATTGTGGCTGGCATGAGGTAAATTAAGCATTCACTAGACGAAAATCATTACATAATGTGCAAAAATATTCAGATTTCCTTAGAAAATTACTTACGTCAAAAACACATTTCAACACCTACTTTCATTTGGACAGAAATATGAAAATTTAACTTTTAGTAACCCTGCAAAATAATCTCTAATATAAATCCAATAAACACTATTCGCTTTGCGTGTTTCCTTTCAACCCGTCTGAATAAAATTAATTTCAAATTTACGAATAAACTCAATAACATATATTGGCATTTCCCTTGTTCAATTTGAGAACTCATATTTCCATAAAATAATACCTAACTGCGCGTGTTCGATACTCCATTTTAAATGCTTATCTATAAAATGCATATAAGAAACACGTAAATTGTTTAACGTATTATCTAGCAATATGCAAATAAACACTAAAGTACCTCTTCCCAAAGTATAAACAGCGTATAAATACGTCGAATAATAAAAGTATCAAAAGAGGATTTAGCTTATAAAATATACAGCCGAGGACTTCCATGAACAATTCTACTTCACATCCATAGACAACCATAAAATCCAACGTGATGTCACATTTCTTCCAACAAATAAAGTCGAGATTCACATTTATTTAGCTAAATACGCGATAAATATTCTTTAAATACCAAACAATGGATAAAACTTACAATGAAATATCTTCCGTTCGTTTTTAGCTGGAAGTAAAGACTCGAAATAATCGAAATATTAAAATTCTGATTTACAACAAGTACCAGGTTTCTGGTCGTAAGAAAAATCTCAAATTCCGCTTAATACAAAAACACACATAAGTTTTATCGTCCTGCAATATGAACCAAGGTTTAGACATGCTACTAAAATTTCTGGTACGAAAAAGTTACTTCACACACACACACGCCTATTTGTACCGACAAAACGAAATATAAACAAATAAGCCTATATTTTCGATTTGATCGATTGTAAAAATGGACTGACCTTCGAAATCAACACCGAGCTTCTTGTGGACAGGGACGGGTCGAATGGCCCCCATCGAGAGGGATTTGCGGGGTGGACCACCCGCACTAGAGGTCTTCACGTCTTGGGAGCTCCGTCCTCTGCCCCCACGTGGCCACGCGAACTGCAGACGGTACTCGGTGTTGTTCCGCGGGATAGCATTGCTAAGCGGACCGGTTGGGGCAGGTGGAGGGTAACTGGTGATCATCTGCACACACACACATGGATTCCAATGTTGGTCTTCCCACCAGAAGGTTTTCATCTAAGTAATCTCGTCAGTCGTCAAAGTTTAGGCTACAGAAGAAGCGATACTGACCTCCGAAAGATCGCCTACACCCACACGTAATCAGAGTGTTGTAAAGTAAACAGAATCCTTGAGAAGCTAATAGTCACTCAGCGTGTCAAGAAATGTTCAGACTTTCAAGTGTGCCAAAGGTTCATTACCCTGTTCACAACAGCCTGCCATAAAAATGTCCGAAACCCCGTGTAAGAATAATCAAAATACTGCTTTCAAAACTGCGAGAAAATATTATTCAACGCCCAGACACACAAGATGGCGGTACATACCTTCTCTAATGCCTGCGTCCATAATCTGAGGACGCGCCCTGGCAAAGGTGTTCGCAAAATCAACTACGAAACAAAATACAATCTGTTCTGTGACATCTACGTTCGGATAATCCTCAACTACGAAAATGAATAACAGCAACACTGCTCCAGAAAATTAATACGATGAATCGAGCGCGAAACAGAACGACAGCAGATACGGAAATGGTAGATATCACAGAGACTACAACCGCTGACAATTCACAGATAACGAATGAGAA